AGATAGATGAGGGTAAGCTCTCAGCTTCCCGCGCGCCAAATAAGGATGCAAGAACTGGAGCTCCTCTATCCACAACATCCATCTAAAAGGGATGCGTTTACCTGGGTGTTTCACCAAAAAGAAGCATTCCTCCAATCGACTCCTTTGCCTCTCTTCTGCAGCAGCAGGCGAAACAAACACAGGGTGGTTTCCGGGCTCCTTTACTAAGTCGAAGATCCCTAGAAGCCTTTTCGCTTCCAAATATGCTTAAAAAAATCCATCTATCCCCCCACGCCTTTGGAGAAAAGCTCGGGGGATTGACTACTAGTAAACTTAGTGAATTTATCCCCTTCCCTTCTTTAGCTTATGAACTCCGTTTTGTGAAGAGGTTTATAAAAGTGACAAGCTTGGTGGAAAGCTCTTTGGAGGGAAAGCACCTTCATTTTCCTTCCTTTACCCGTTATCTTACCCAAAATAAAAAACATAACATATATCAAGCACAACCACTTTCTTCGACATGATGGGTTAATGGTTAATCTTTTTCTCCATGATTAGTTTGTCATGACTTATGCACTCATAGATAAACACATAGAGTCTTGTATGTTAATAGGGATGTTGGTATCTTGATTCTGATTGATTAATTGCTAGGGTTTGTATGATCTAGACATAGGCTTACAAATTCTACGACTTATTAGTTCTTGCTTTAAATTCTACGACAAATTCTAAGGAATTAGAGGGTTTTGAATAAAGTAAAAGATTAAATCAACAAGAGATTGGAGTGTTTAATCATCTTAGAAAGAATCGTCCATAACTTAATCTTGAATATTGATTGCATGAAAGGATAGACTTGTTAGAAAAATATTGGGCCTAGCTACACTTATTTTAATTGATTTTAAACTCGTTATTCTGTACTTGTCTCGTTCTTTTCCTTAGTGATTAATCTTGAAAATAAAAAATGTTGTTTTTAAATTCCATTCTTATTAATTCAAAATTATATTTTTCAAAACTTACAATGTCGATCCAACTTTGGTTTTATTTGGGGTAGGATATTGTAATAACCAATTAAGGTTATTACCAATGTTACCACTAATCAATTTTACCGTTAGATTGATTATGTTGATCCAACAGTTATATTTATTTTCATCTTTGTATGGTTATGATTTTCCATATTTAATACTTTATATTTATTCCACCTTTGTATAGTTATGATTCTCCATATTTAATGTGAAAGTATTAAATATGAGAAATCATAACCATCAAAGGTGAAAATAAATATAACTGTTGGATCAACATAATAGATCTGATCTAATGATAAAATTGATTGATAGTAATATTAGTAGTAACTCTAATTGATTGTTACAAACAATATCCTACCCCATAAGTTATTGCTTGGTAAATCAATTATTGTGGGAACGACAACCTACTATTTATCATTTTATTATTTGTACGACCGGTGCAGTTATCGAATTAGTATTATTCATATAAAACAATTATCTTATTCATGTATTGTTGCTAGCAGCCCTGGTAATCAGTACCAAACGGTATCACCCAATTTATATATTCATAATGATATGTCTCATTGATCAGCACAACAATAATTGCCGATACTCGTAACGATGAATATTAATACTGTTTTGTAACTGTTTGCGCATTGCAATAAGCCTCTGGCAAATATAGTTTTATGAACCCCACCCATAGAAAACAATTAGCTTTTTCATGTATCATTTGCTAGCAGCCCAGGTACTTAGTACCAATCAGTATCACGCAATTTATATCTTCGTAATGATGTCTCATTCAGTACAACCACAATTACCTAATGATGAATATTAATCCCATTTTGTAAATTGCACAATATTGCAAATTGCAATGACGCTCTAACGAAGTAGTTTTATGAACCCCATCCATATAAAACTATTGGTTGTGGATATATATTATTTCATATTTGTAGTGTTTATCAACTTAACTTAGACTAAAATGTTTTAGGCACCATGGGTAGTACTGTACACGGGTAATTAAGGTTTTGGCTTAAACTTAGAGGGCATTTGGTACAGGAGAAATTTTTATTTGTCTGGAAATCTCAATTTTCAAAAATATGATTTTTACATTCAGTTTACGATAATATTCGAAAATTTAAAATTTAGAAAAATTCAATTTCCCGGGAATCCGGCCAAATGGCGTACCAAACACCCCTTAGTTCAAACTAAATGGTGGGGATAATAAACGGCGATAGAGCTCGACAAACAACAACATATATAGACTTACGAAGTGGGGGATGTGCCGCGAAATGGAAGACAAGAAATGGAGTGTTGCGATGAACAGCAACATAGCTCTCGACGAACAACAATTATGAGATCCACGAACTAGGACATATGGCTGCTAGGGTAAAAATAAATAAATAAAAGAACAGACAAAAAAAAAAAAAATATGAGATTCTAAATAGAAAACTAGAACCAACCCGAAAATCTGCAATTTTTTTTGGAAAGCTTTAAATTATTATTTAAACAAAAAAAATATTTTTTATAGTTTTTTCCCCGCTAAATCATAGTTTTGAGATTCTAAATAGAAAACTATATATATATATATATATATATATATATATATATATTATTAGGGTCATTATTTTTTCTATCAAGATAATTTATCTCATGTAATTTGAAACGATATTTTGTAATCGAATTTTTTATATATAATTTTAATTTACTTTATGTTTATATTAATTTTTATTGTGATAATTTTTTTTCTAAATCCAAAACAATATTATTTTGGAATCACAGGAGATGTTTTTATCTCAGGAATAACGAAAATCAATAACTCCATATTATTAAATCGTGCACGCCTGTATAATGATGTGGAATTATATGTTAAAAAAATGAAAAGAAGCAGTCATATACTTACCCAAGTAAACACCTAAAAAAGTAGCAACTTGGCATTGTCGGTTTTAAGACAACATGTCTTAAGAAATTAAACTACATTATCTCTTGAATAAAAAATAATTAGGCATTAATTGTGGCTATCAGTTATCCTCTTTTAGGTTAATATAATCGATTTCGAAATAGCATTGGCCGAGGGTCAATATTTCTTATAGCTAAAAAGGCTAGAGATTCTTAGAGGTACACATTTAGAGGTTGCTGATGGCCTATGAGCTCACCTACTCCAATTTTAACAAGCTCAAGTGGATCAAAGTTACAAGCCTGCCTGTGTGCATAAAAAATAATAATAATAATAAATAGTTAAGAAAGAGGAAAAATACAAAAAAATTAAGGAGAAAATATGTGAAATAAAGGAAAAAAAATAACTGCAAAGATTGGAAAACTATTCAGAGATAATGGTTTGAGTTTTATCTTTTGTGATTTACTCATTAAAAATAATAAATAGTAAAATGTTAAATTTTTATTTACTTTAATTTTTATATAAAAAAATAAACATGGATTTTTTTATAAATTCTTTATTAGTAGTAATAAAAATATTTTCATTTGAAATCATTGCTTCCGTTTTTTATTTGTTGTTTTAGAGCTCTTTTATTTTATTTGTCATTTTAGAAAATTAACGAAGTATTTTTTTTCTTATATTTTTCTTTTTATATATATAAATAAGAGAGGATATTAATTAAATGAAATTCTTCCTATTTTAAATGTGTCATTTTTGGAAAGGATCATACCTCATTTGATCTATCGCTTTAAGAAGAATAAAATATATTGATTAATATTTTTTATCTTTTATTTTTGTTAAATGAAATCAGAAAGAATATAATGGAGTTTCTGGAATGATTATATTTTGAATATTCAATAAAATATAATTTAATTATTGTATTTAATTTTTATAATTAAAATTATTTCATAACATTTTTAATCCTTATTATGTAAATAATTTACGTAAAATGAATATATTTTTAAATGGTTTGAGTACTATTAGTTTATTGATGAGGGTAGTTTTTATTTGAAAAATATTTGTTGCAAGATACTAAAATATTTAAAAATGTACAAAATTCTAATGAGATTACTTACAATCAGATAATCAAAAATTGATAGTGTTTACCGAAAAAAATAATATGAAAAACTGATAATAAAAAGGTGTATAAATGTGTTCGTTTAAGATAACTGAGTGGATTTAAAGTTACGGTACAGCATTAATTACAATTATAAATTAAATTGATAAACACAGATGACAGTGAATTTTAACAGAGCTCATTGAGTACTAATTAATAAGCATAAAAAAGATAGGTAACATCTACGTAGCACCGATATTGACACGGGACACGTGATACGATACGACACGACACTCCGACACGTTAATTCTAAAAAATATTAGATTTCGACACGTTATGACACGTTTTGATATTAAATAATATTTTTAATTTATGTAGTGTATATTATATTTAATATTCAATAATTTAACAAAAAAATGAAACTAAACTTATAATATTTATCAATTTTTCAAAGAAACATAAGACATCCCAAATATTTATATTAAACTCAATAAATTGGTAATCGTAATCGAACGAATCTAGTAGTTGAAACTAAAAACTCAGTGCAACGAAACCTTTGAACCCTTTTTTGAATTTTTATAAAACTTGCTGAAGTGTCGGGAAGTGTCGGAGTGTGTCGGAAAGTGTCGGACACGACACGTCAAGATTTTTGAAGTGTGGGTGCTTCGTAGGGTAAGATCGTTACATCACTAAGCACAGCAAGTTGTACTCGATCTTTTCATTTGTAATATTAAAAAAAAAAAAAAAAAGTTGCCACGTTTACAATTTTCTTATGTGGAAAAAATTTCTTATGCGTCACCATTGCATCACAAGGGAACGTCATGGAAAGCTTTGTAAGCTAAGTAATTATTTGTGGAAAAAAATTCCATCTCTTACATTTCAACATCATTCTTCCTTTCCAAACATTTTCCGTTCACTTGTATCTCTCTTTCCTCGCAAAAGCCTATCCCTTTCTTTCTTTCTTTCTTTCACACCGCCCCCACACACACAAGCTATATTTTACTCTATTTAGCAAAATCCAAATCCATAAAATTTCCAAGTAAATTACTGAAACCCAAACAGACCAATAAAGTTGAGAGCAAATGAGTTTTCTTTTCCCTGAAAGTGTCTCAGCAAAGAAGAAGAAGCTCATCAGAGAGCTCCTTCAGGGACAGGAATATGCTACTAAGCTCAAGCTTTTGCTTCAGGAGCATGTTGGGGCTGATGGGTCTCTCTCAGCTAAGGAACTCGTTGCCAATGTGCTGAGATCTTTTGCTGAGACTCTTTCTGTTATGACTTGTTCTGAAGATGAGGTTGCTGATCAGAATCTTGTAAATTCCGGCGAAGATGGGTCCCAGGTGGCAGCTTCCACCAATGATCTGAGGTCTGAAGTTTCAACTGAGAGTAGGAAGAGATCTTTTCCGGCCACAAAGGATCGGAGAGGTTCCTACAAAAGAAGGTCTTCTTCTTTTCCATTCTCTGATCTATTCTTTACCGTGATGTTATGTATTGTTAGCTCACTTCCTCACTCAACAAAAGCTTGTTTTGTCGGCGATTTTGGGATGCTGGGAGTATTTGTGGAATTGAGATATGTACGGACAAAAGAATGAGATGTGTACGGACAAAAGTGTCAATAGATATCATATATGAGTAAAGCTATTTATCTACATAGGACAGGAAAAATAAAAAATAAAATAAAAAATTGAAGCTTCGAGGTTGAGTTGGACTTAGAATATTTTGATACTATTGAGTTATATAATGGAGTGAATTCTCATTTGTTGATTTTGATTAGTGCAAGAAACTCTCAAGGGTTCTGATTCAAGTGGGTTCCTTTTTATATAGCTTATTAATTAGAAGCTCTTGCGGTGAAATAATGTACAGATTCTGAATCTTTATATATAATACCCGAAATGACATGCATGGGATGTGCTAATTAATTGTTGCGCAGGAAGACTGAACTGACAAGGACCGTTGTTTCCCAAACTACCGATGATGAACATGCATGGAGAAAGTACGGACAGAAGGATATCCTGAATTGTAAATTCCCCAGGTAATCATTATTTTCGTGTACAGTTTTTTTTTTCCCTCGAAATTCTCCTAGTAAAGATATACCCGTTTTCATTTATGCATAAATTGAATCTCTACGCGTTTTCTTTTTCTATTTTTGGTTCCTTTCCTTTCCTTCCATCTCATAAAGACAAAAAAAGCCGAGGGACAGAGTGATCTATATAGAAATATAATCTTAAAAATATGATTTTAATTGATTTGCTAGAAGTACTTCCTTTCTTTGTCTTTTCGGGTGCATGAATACTTCCTCTCTTAATTATCATGCCAAAAGTAGGAATTAAACAACAGAAGCTAATTAATGCAAGAACCAGACCAAGGAAACTTCATGAACACTGAGACTACTAATTATTTCAATTTATTTGGTTTAATTAGGACATTTGGCACTCAAATTTGTTGAAAAATAAAGTATACAACTTTTATTAATCGAAACTCAAATTACATCTGCTTTCACACATTTGAACTTTACAAAGACTACTTTGAGTTACACGGTTATACCCATTCACTTTTACTATTTATTCTCTCAAGCTCACTTTCACTCTGCACTCTTTCTTTCTTCTTTCTCACTTGTTGCTTCTTCTCACTTGTTGTCAACTAAGAGTCTTTCCTCCTATTTATAGTTGCCTTATGATATCTCTAGATTTTTCTTCATCTTCTTTGCATGTATGAACTCTCTAGATTTTTCTATTTGTTTCTTCATCTTTCTTAACCTTTTAAGTTCTCTAGATTCTTCTCCTTCTTTCTTCATTCTTCTTCATTATTATGCACCAAATTTTGAAAGATTAATCTATGAAATTTTCTAGAGAATTGTAGAGAGTAAAGGAGAGAGTAGTTGGTGCTCATTTCAATACTCCCCCTCAACGACAACTCTCTCTTAAAGTCGATCTAGTAATCATACCAAGTTGCCTTCTAAACTCTTGAAGTTTCACGCTATTAAGTCCTTTAGTGAATAAGTCCGCAACTTGGTCTTTAGTCTTTATGTATTTCATCTCAATATGTCCTTGTAACACCTTTTCACGAATAAAGTGATAATGAACTTCCACATGCTTGGTCCTCACCTGAAAGATTGGGTTCTCTGCCAATCGTGTAGCTAATTGATTATCACAATAAAGGTCTACTACGTAGTCAACAGGTTGATGTAAGCCCTTCATAAGTTGCATCAACCATGTACATTCTTCATCATCTCCCGTGATGACTAAGTCATCCACATAAATTAGAATAATTTCAAGTTTTCCGCCTTTAGCTTTGAGTAATAAACTCGAATCAGCTAGTGCCAAAGAGTACCCATTTTGAATAAGAAACTTTTATTTTACCATACCAAGCCCTTGGTGCCTGCTTCAATCCATAAAGTGCTTTATTCAATTTGCACACATAGCTTGGATGCTTCTTGCTTTCGAATCCTTGGGGTTGCTCCATGTATATGTCATGATCTAGCTCTCCATGTAAGAAAGCATTTTTCACATCCATCTGCCAAAGCTTCCAAGTTTTACTTGCCGCTGGAGCAATTAAAACACGTATTGTGGTGATCTTTGCTACAGGACTAAAAGTCTCATCATAGTCTATGCCAAATTTCTGCGAAAGTCCTCGAGCCACCAGTCGTGCCTTGTATCTTTCTATCGATCTATCCGGTCGAGTCTTCACTTCGTACACCCACTTGCAAGATATTCGTTATACATTTGCAGGCCTTGGTACCAGCTCCCAAGTTTCATTTTGTTCTTGTTCTTGAATCTCCTCATCCACGACCTTTCTCCATTCTTTCACCGTGTTGCTTCTTCATACGAAGTTGGCTCTTGAATTATTTCTTCTTCTATTAGTGATGCATTTGCATACTCAGGATTTGGCCACCTTTGTCTTAAAAGACCTTCTTAGTGTTGGATGAGAATCTCCCATCTCTTCAAATTCTTCGACTTGGCTTGGTCTTTCTTCTTCAAAAGTTTGTTGTAGCGTCCCAGTTTGCCATTAACTTTTTGCTTTATTTAGAGTCCGATATCGATTTATTTCGTGGTGTTCTTGGGATTCGGCTCCATCCTATTGCAATTTTTCTTCAACTTCATTAGTATTTCGTAACACCACCTCCTTTGTTGGCCACCAAGATGATACTCCGTCAAACACTACATTCCTTGAAGTGTAACACCATCTTGTTGAGGGATCACAACACTTCCATCCCTTCCTTTTGTTGTCGTAGCCGACAAATATACATCGTATTGCCTTTTTATTGAACCTTTGTTCTAATATGATCAGGCACGAAATCATAGCAGACACAACCAAAAACTTGAAAATGACTCATCGTGGGCTTCACATTCCATAACTTTTCGTGAGGTGAAATAAACTCAAGCCTTGCTTGAGGTAGCTATTTATAATATGTGTTGTTGTCTTCATACACTTGGCCCAAAATCGAGGTGGCATGTTTTTGGCATGTAACATGCTTCTACATATCTCTGCTAAGTGACGATTCTTCCTTTTCACAACTTCATTTTCTTTGGGTGTATTCGAACAAGAGAATTGTCTTCGTATCTTACAATTGCGTAAGTACTACGTGAATTCTTTAGATGTGTACTCTCCCTCATTATTCGTACGAAGACATCTTATATTTCGTCCTACTTCTTTTTCTACCTTCTCTTTGAAATTCTTAAACTTAGAAAAAGCTTTTTATTTTTTTCTCATAAAGTCAAGCCACACATACCTCGAAAAATCATTGATGAAGGTGATCATGTACTTGAAGCCTCTTATGGATGGTTGGTTCATGGACCCAAATACGTCTGAACGAACCAGGTCGAGCTGCTCCTTAGCTCTATAATGTGACTCCTGGTATGACAGTTGATGTGTTTTCCGTACTAGCATGCAACACACAACGTGCTTTCTTGGACTTCTAATGTGGGAAGACCTTTCAACATAATCTTTTTCATCATCACCTTAAGTTTATGATAACTCACATGTCCGAGTTGGGCATGCCACATGTTAGTTGTTTCATCCTTCCTAGTCTTGTCTATGTATGTCGTTTGGGCTAACATTTCATAGACAGACTCCAAGCGCCTTCCTTCCATGACTGGTGTACCAATCTGCTTCAGATTTTTATACATCTTTACACAGTCTGGACCGAACACCACATAATTCCCTGAAGTTGTGAGCTGTGAAACTGAGAGTAGATTTTTCTTCATCCCTTGCACATGGAGCACATTCTCCAGTGGTGTTTCGCTAGAACTAAATCGAGGCACTATTGTTGCCTTTCCCACGTGAGTGATGAGCAATTTTGCATTATTTGCTGTAACAACCACTCATCGTTTTTTATACTAAGTCATGCATTTCAACTTCTTCATATCTCCAGTCATATGATTGGAACACCCAGAATCTACGATCCAATCATCATTATATATAATTAATTTATCATTCATCGTGGCAAGTGAAAACTCTTCCTCTGGTTCCATGACACAAGAAGTAGCGAGCTCTGTGCGTTCTTCTACTGCAAATAATGCTTGTAAATCCTATTCTTCTTCACTGTTGTTTTCATTTTGCGGTGGAGGTTAAAACGTTACTTTCTACTTTCTTGAACCAACAATCTCGTGCAAAGTGTCATATCTTACCTTAGTTGTAGCACTGATTATTTTGACGATAATCTTTCATTTTCTCGGCACCTCGTCCTTGTTGAATTCCCCCGTGTTGTGAGCCTCTTCTGTCATGTCTTTGTTTATCTCTTCTTTCTTGATATTTGTAGTTCGATTTTGGTTTTGATCGGGTAGCATCTCCATTTAATTGCTTCCTCTTGCTAAATAGGACCTTTTCATTTTCGTTTGTCGAGACATTAGACATTAGTTAGTCTGACGCTTCTTGATTGGCTAGTAAGTTTTCCAACTCTGTAAAAGTTGGCTCTTTGGCCCATCCACATGTTGCCGTAATAATTTCATTATATTCCGGTCTTAACTCGTGAATAATTATTCTCCTCATGTGTGTTTCTGATATTGCATTTTCAGGATCTAACTTTGAAATTTCTTCACAAATAGATTTAATTTTGGAAAATATTGACTTATTGTTTAATCCTATTGCGTGGTTGATAGAAGTTCATTCTCTAAGCATTGGAGCTTTGCATCATTTGTGCGTGCTATCCTATGCTTGCTTCAGAGTCTCTACACTTTTAATATGTTGTAGCAATTCATCTTCAACTGTTACTGCGAGAAAATACATAGTTTTTCTAGCTTCCAACTTCCACTTTCTCAATTCATTCGCCTTTTTGGGTGCTGTGGTCTTTCATTATTTACTACGTCAGGTAGAACTTCATGCGGACGCTCCAATTATTATAGTTGTCGTTGTTGAGTTTCTTAATCCCGCTGGCAAGAGTTGAAAATATCTGCCATTGTAACTTGGTGATTCCTCACACTCTACCAAGCAAACTTGATCCAAATCAAATAGCTACACAATCCTTGATTGTGCATCTACAGAATATTCGTATGGTGTTCCCAGTCACTAGCCTCCTCGAGAGTAGCTCGGTCCCGGACAACCTGGCTCTGATGCCACCTTTTGAAGAAGAAAGTATACAACTTTTATTAAGAGAAACTCAAATTACAACTACTTTCACACACTTGAACTTTACAAAGACCACTTTGCGTTACACCCACTCACTTTTACTATTAATTCTCTCAAGCTCACTTTCACTCTACACTCTTTTTTTCTTTTTTCTCACTTGTTGCTTCTTCTCACTTGTTGTCGACTAAGAGTTTTTGCTTCTATTTATAGTTGCCTTATGATATTTCTTGATTCTTCTTCATCTTCCTTTGGCTTTATGAACTCTCACTACTAGAAAAAACCTGTATAACGACGGAATTGCTATGGAAATTCCGTCGCTAATTTCATCCTCGTTAATTTTATCCTCGCTACTATTTTTCGTTGCAAATGATTTTGTGAGGGAATTTACGACGGAAAGTAGTAGCGAAGATGAAATTAGCGACGGAATTTTCATAGCAATTCGGTCACTATACATGTTTTTTCTAGTAGTGTCTCTTGATTTTTCTATTTGTTTCTACATCTTTCTTAACCTGTTTAAGTTCTATAGATTCCTCTCTTTCTTTCTTCATTCTTCTTCATTATTATGTACCAATTCTAGAAAGATTAATCTATGGAATTTTTTAGAGAATTGTAGAGACTGAAGGAGAGAGTAGTTGGTGCTCATTTCAATAAAATTTACTGGAATTAATCCTTTTGGTACACTGATTTTTAACTTGTATTGTTGTTTAAAGAACTTGTATTCTAACTCACCTTTTTAATGATAATTTGTAGGAGTTACTTCAGGTGCACTCGGAAGTATGATCAATGTTGCCGTGCAACCAAACAGGTGCAACGAATCCAAGATAATCCGGATATGTACCAAATTACGTACATTGACTTTCACACATGCAAAGACACCCTCAAGCCTCCACAAATGGTCACATATTCTGATACATTGGACTCATTTCTTGTGAATGGGTCCCATCCTGATTCAAAGGTGCCAAATGAACAGGATCCCCCTATTAGCTCACAAGACCCAACTATAATAAAAGAACATCCCAAACAAGAGACTCCGAGTGATCTTACAGACAACTTGGATCCTACCTTGTGGTCTGATTTGAAGGATTTTGAACTATCCAAGCCTGCCACTATACCCTTAAAGATGGCATCTGACAATGCAGATACTGTGTATTCATGTACTGGCTCTCAAAGTCTGGACTTGGATTTTGGGGTATTTTCATCTCATTTCGGCATCCACTTTGATGAAAGTAATTTGCTTTAGTTTAGCTTCTTAATCTTAACTATTAAGAGTGAATATTTAGATTTTGCTTTTGGCTTTGCATTTTCCTAGTTTGATGCACTGTGTGAGATTGACTTTGATCATTCCCACATTAATCAATCTGATGTAATGTGTGTCTGTCTACGTCTACTTTGAAAAGTTTGTGATTAAATAGCATAGACTAAATGAACTATTTTATTTACAAAAAAAAAAAAAAAAAAATGAACTATTTTAGGTTTTATCTGAGATGCACAGCTTTTTTTTTTTTTTTTTCTTAAATCTCTTTATGGAGAATGATCCGTTTATAAATTTTGTTTTACAAATTACTCTAAGTATGACCGGTCATACACTCTTGATTGAAGTATAATCGGTCATACTTAGTGTAATTTGTAAGAGTTTGTAAACACAAAATTTGTAAATATAACTTTTCATTCTCTTTATCCACAAAAATTAACTATATGGAAGGTTTATTGCAAAGGGTTGTGTGGCATGAACTACGGATCCAATAAGCCATTATATGATTGTATTAGTTTCTTAATTTTAGAGTTTTTTTTAATTAATAGCTTATTGAGAGATTTAAAAAATAAATATTTCTTAAATAAATAAAGCATGTACCAATCACTGTATATATGTGTGTGGTTTGAAAATGGTTGTGATAGGCATGAAATTGAACAGACGATTTCGCCAATCAAATTTGACGTTGTTTTTTTTTTTTTTTTTTTTTGATAACAATTTGACGTTGTTTTTAACTTAGTCACGTACACGGATTGTGACGTGTACGACAAAGACAAAGGGTGATTTGAACAATTGGGACAGAAATGTCGCCAAATAAGTGGAGTCCAAGGACGTGCGTATAGTGAGGGTAATCAATGGGTGGAAGATAATCAGAGAACAAGATGAGCTGTACCTCAAGCTAGCTAATGAACAAAATTGGTCTTTTTCAGAATCTAGTACGGTCAAGTGTCAAACCTTTGTTTTATATGTCCATCCCCAACACCATAACGATGGCACAAAGAAGAGAGTAATCGATTGTTTCCAGATGTGTGTTCCTTTCAACAGTATTTGTATTAAATTAATTATAAAACAACTAATTCAATTCAAAAGTTTAAGAAGGTTCTATCATTTTAGATTTGGAGTTATACTTGACTCATTTTAGACTCGGTTCACTTTAAAAATTATAATGGCAACGAGTTGAATAAGACATGGTTTAGATTCGGTTCATTTAGTAACTGTACTCATTTTCTTGATTTAACTACAACTCATCTTAATTAAAACTAACAAATTATTTGAGTTTAATGAGTCAATATCAACTTTTGTATTAATCCAACTCTTTTTTTTTTTTTTGATAACATTAATCCAACTCTTTAAACTCGATAAGTTGTGTTCATTTAAAAACAAATTAATAAATCGAACTATGAGAGCTAAAACTTATACATTAGATTTATACAATAACCTCATATATTAGATATTATCCTAAAAAAACACATGTAAGTTTTGTTTGAGAGGTTATGCTTACCACATTTTTTTACCACCTTTTACAATCAATGTGGTTATTATTGAATCAAAATCAAATCAACTGTTATAAAATAACATCAATTGAGAGTTATAAATTTGATTTTTTTCAAATTAAAACAAAATGGTTGTATGGATAATGAGTTATATAAGTATTGCATTTTTTTTGTTCAATCATAAGCAATAAATAAAGTTAATTACAATTTTTTTTTACTAAAAAGCTAAAAAAAATCTCGAAATAAAAATTTCTTTTCTACACATAATGTTCATAATATTTTTCTTCTCTACGAATGTGTGTTGTAGAACAATTATTTGGAGACACACACAGACAAATTATTTGGATCTCACCCAGAGACAGCTATATATACAGTTTCTAATAGGATTATAGTGTAAATAACGAGAATATAAACTATTTATCTGTACATCTAAAGTTGGTAACGGGACCTAACTAAGGAGAAAAAGAGATAGACATGCAATTAATTATAAAGATCGGAAAAGAAAATACTTTGAAGAAAATGAAATCTTATCCTCACGAAACGAGGATAATCTCCATTTTAATAAAAATAAGTGCACGACCTGCGCGCAGTTTATGATCTAACTGTTCTCATTTATTTTTCAATTCATAATTATGTTTTATGATAAATAAGACAATTTTTATGATTTAGATTTTATATAATTGTTTGAAAATGGCAGACATTAATAATGAGAGTTCAAATAGTTTGCATGAAATCATAAGTTGGAACCTCAGTATCACCATTGTATAAGGAAAAAATAAAATAAAATAGACATTCCAAATCCATTTTAGCATATGAAGCCCCAATGCCATCTATTAGTTATTTAGCTACTTCATAGGTTTGAGAGTTCATGAACTTCATATTGCCGTTGATAACTTAAATTAAGAGTTTATTTATATCTTCTGTTAGTAAAAAAAGTTTTTTATACTATTATTTAACTAAAAAAATGACTTGACTATGTTAATAATTATATCATGAATTACCAATTTTTTTAAAACTAATTTGACAATATATTATTAGATGTAACTATACTCTCTCTTTTTTCACTTATACTGCATTAAATTAATATGCTTGAAATTGATTGTAGTTAATATTGAGAAAATTCTTAAACACTTAAAAAATATTAGACTTGTCCAATCCTTTAATTAAGTTAATTCAAGTGTTACAACTTTTTATTTTATTTTTTCACAGGTGTTTTGTTATCAAACTCTAACCAAATCGTTCTTCAATAATAAGTGATTAATTAAGTTGTACGATTAAATAACTATACATTAATTGTATAGTTGGATCAAACAATTATCATGCTCTATAAAATCATTTCCTAGTTACAACTCTAAAATAATTCCCTTTTCAGCTGCCATATTAATCATAATATTCTTCAGTTTCTCTTCTCTTTTGGTTCCCGTTTATCTTCAGCGGGAGCGAAAAGATATTCCATACTGTTACCGCTGCTGCTACCAGAGTTGAACATGGCATCAGCCATATCTACCACTGGATAATCACCACCATATCTTGCACCGCCACCACCCTGGAACCTGAGGTTCATTGATGACAGCCACAGACCGGAAGTGGAAGCTGATGACGGAGACAACCGTGGGGAAATTGTACTTTGTGTCATGTGATCCTGCTGTGAGATGTCCACCACTAGTTGTTGTGGTGGAACTGATGATGATGGTGCTGTGGAGGACATATGGCAGGTGTGGTTACCTATATATGTTACTTCAAATATGTTATGATACCGATCAAGTCGCTGCACTTGCTTCTTGGCTTGGCATTCATATAATTTCTGGTGTGTGCATCTGTAGTAACTCCTGAAAAGATAAAAAAAACATTTCAAATCAAGAAAGGGAAAGAAAAAAAATAATTTAATTAACTAATCAAGGCATTTTTTTTTTAATTTTTTTTTTTGAGGTTGATATACATAATTGTCAAAAGGGAATATTTGTCTTGTTCGAACAATTTGCTAATCAAAGTGATCACGCATGTATGGGGCCAATTTAGGCGTTTCAATAATGCTTGGCAGCTAGCTAGGTGACAAGTTGCTTTTTTAAAAAAAATAAAAATAAAGTAAACAAAATTAGGGTTCAAAGTCTAATTAGGGAATTGTTGAAAGGGTTTTATAAGAGTTATGTTGTAGGAAAAGTGATTGTGTTATGTTATAGAGATTCGTTTTACGTGCCGGAGTTTTTTTGTCTCAAAAATTGCGGGTTCCACAAAATGTTGCGTGTGTAGGAAAGTTGTTGTGGTCATGTTTAATGATAGATGCAAAACCCTTGTAGAAAACACTAATAAAGTATGAGATCTATTAATCTCATGTTTAATGAGATAATTATCTCATGCAACAGAGACAAGATAATGAGGTGAGAGGTCCACCATTTGTAAAAAATAAAAATGGTGGACCTCTCACCTCACTATCTTGTCTTTGTTGCATGAGATAATTATCTCATGTCAGTCATGTAACATGAGATAATTATTTCTCATAAAGTATATTACTACCAAGCTAAAGACCTGTTTGGATCCTCTTATTTTTAAGCTAGAAGCTACTTATAAGCTAAAGCTAAAAAAAAAGAGCTTAAAAAAATAAGCTAAAAGCTGTTTGGAAATTACATAAAAGTTTTAGCTTAAAAATTACTTAAAAGCACATATTTCAAGAAAATTATCTCTTTCTATCTTTATCACTCTTTATTTTAAAAAAAAGCACATAATTCAAGAAAAACAGATAAGAGCTTAAAAAAAAGCTCCTCCTAGGAGCTTTTAATTTTCAGCTTTTTTCTTCATTATAAAAAAAAGAGCTTTTCGTTATAAGAGCTTTTCCCAAAACATGTTTGGCCTAGCTTATGCTTATAAGTAGCTTGTAGCTTAAAAAAAAGAGGATCCAAACAGGCACTAAGCAATGGAATTGATTAATTAACCATACCTTGGGTACTTGGAGCCAAGTATATCTTTCTGGCCATATTTTCTCCAAGTGTAGCCATCCTCCGGTGGCATCTCCGTGTTTCCAAACTGTGGTGCAGGAACCGTAATTTTTTCCTTCTTCAAATCAACTTTCCTGCTACTAATTAATGTAATGTATATATTACGAGATAATCATCAGGCCAAAATGTCAAAGAAACTACTTTGTAAAAAGAATTGTACCAATCAACGAGGTTGCCAAAATTATGCAAAAAGATAATGTGAAATTGATTAGAAGTATCTATATATAGTAGCTTGTTGCCTAATTACTAAGAAAGATCTTGGAAAGTTTCGTTCTACTTTTTTGAGGACAAACCCCTTTAGGATACATATCAATAATCGAGTACGGACTTGTAAAGGCAAGCTAGCTGGAAAAACCCCAAAAAGCCTTCCACTAGTAAACTTTTGCTTTCTTCTTTCTTTCAATTATTATGGGTATAGTTGAGGTGTAAGTCATCTACAAGCCCTTCTGCATTTAACTATACTAGTATTTCACATTTCCAATAATGCAACTACTAAAATGCTGTTAATACTTATAATAAAATTAATTTTAAAACATAGTTTCAATCACATGTATTCTTTAGTCACCACCATCAATAAAATAATCAAAATCATTCAAAAAATAAAATTAATTATATGAAAGATGTATACCTTCTTCGTGGTTGTGAGGGTGATGCTTCAATACCCTTCGATCTCTGGGAATCTTCCACATCTCTCTCACCCATTTCACCAATCTGCAAGGTGTCCCTAGACATTATTAGCTGAGAGAAATCCACCCTATTATCCATCATCTTACTTTCAACCAAAGCCCCCACATCATGAGGTGTCGTGCTCCTCATACCTTGAAGTTGCTGCATTGGAAACAAGTGATCATAACTAGACCTTAGCCATTCCTGCATTAGAGTTGCATCCATATGAGGATGCTGCGTTTCATGAAGCCACATCTGAGCTAAGGAAGATGCTGCTGATGTTTTGTCATGTTGACAGATTAATAACTTTTCTTTGGCAGCATTCAATGTCTCAACTATCTTATCAATGGAAATGGATAGCATAGCAGGCTGATTGGCCAAGTTGGGTAGGTTTGATTCAAGATTTTGAGCTAATTCACAAGCGTGGCGAATAGAATTTATTACATCTTCCATGGTTTCTGGGTGTTTCTGCTTTACCATGAACTTGAACACTGTCTGCCAGTGAAAATATAAAAGGGTTATATATATAATTGTCAAGGGCAAGTTTTTTGTTAAGCTTCTAGGTTGGTGCTGTCTCTTACAGTTACAGGGAAAGAATGCTACAATATAACATAGACTAAAGCACATATGTTTCCATTACACAGTACTACAACAACAACAACAAAAAAAGGTAGAATGGGAGCGTGTGTTGAAGCGAAGACTTGGTCGTTGGTCATAAACTTCTAGCTGCTTGGAATTTCAAACTTGATTAATTTTTTTCTTTTTCTTTGGATTTAGAGGAAGACTCTTTTGCCCCATTGAAACGATTACTTTTTGGACCCTTTGATGAATTTTCTAGGTTGGACCCAACTTGGAAATTTTCTTTTGGTGAACGTGCATTCAGCGTCTTGTCCTCAGTACTTAGAATGATCCTTCGTTCTCAATTCTAAGCATTACTCGGCGCAGTGGAACAAGTTGATTGAACAAGGTCAATATTCTTCGGCCCCATGACATGCATACCAAAACAAGAAGGACCATGAATCACGAACTATAACAACTTTGTTTGTTTTTATTTCTTTTTTCTTTTTGGTAGACTAACAATAACAACCATGGTAGTTAAAATTAAAATTTTATTTAAAATTAGAAAGGAAATAAAAAATCATAAAACTTAAAATTTTAAAGTAAAAAAAAATCGTAAAAGCGTTTAAAATTTTGATAAATGATTGAAAAAAATCATAAAATCGTAAAATTACAGATTTAAATCGAGATTTTAACTACCATGCATGCTAACAACTTTGTTAATAAATTTAAACTTATATACAGAACAATATTTGCGCAAATGATGAAATTTTAAAAAAATTAAGATTAATTTGTATATAACTATATTTATTTTATAACTAAAATTATTATTTCTTCTATAAAGGTTTCTCCCCCCTCCTCCCAAAAAAAAAAAAAAAAAAAGAAATTGAACCGTAAAGCACTGTACCGGATGAATATCGTTTTGAAAGGTCAAGGCTGTAGCTCCTCAATGGCATAGTTCTAGAAACAAATATAAAACGCCAAGGCGGTACAATTGTTTTCCGTTAACTGTGGACTTCTTACTCCTTTTAAAATTTGTCACCAGGAATTCTTTCAAAATTAAAAGTGTCATGATCAATTACTAGCCCAAAACAAATAAAAATAGGGTTTTATTAATATCATGTTAAATGAAATAAATTATCTCATGTCATAGATATAAATTTCTGAGCTCCACCACCTGAAAAAGAAAAAAAGAAAAAAGTGGCACAGTTATCAAAGGATGTGTAAAAAAAAAAACATATGAGAATAGTTTTTTCCATAAAAATACATTATTTAACACTCTTTTAAACGCTGTTATTGTGTGAAATTATATATAAGCTGTACTAAGTATATAAGCTGAACTAAGTAACCATTATAATTTATTTAATAACAAAAAAATTGTTAAAAATATCAAGGAATAATGTCAAATAGTTACTAGCATTTCTTTATGGAAAAAGTGTATATCCTTTTAAAGGACATACACTTATATCTTTTTAAGAAAGATAAATGAATAAATTATGGAAGAGAGAGAGAGTGGAAGAAAAAATTTGTAATTTAAAATTTTAAAAAATACATTACATTCATTTAAAATGACCATCCTTTTAAATGACAAGCACTAAACTCTTTCTTTATTTGGAAACATGTATTTAAGCATATAACTCTCCACCTTTTAACTTATATATATATATATATATATATATATATATATATATATATATATATATTGATCATTTTACATTGGGATAAGACTAATAAGTCTTACACCACATCTCAACCGTTGATTTTCGTCCATCCAACGATTATAATTTAGTAAATCATACAAATCAATTAATAATAATTAATCAATAATTACACTACAAATACCAACCGATGACTTTCGTCCATCAACGGTTGAGATGTGGTGTAAGACTTGTTAGTCTTACACTCGTGTAAAAAGAACCCTGCAACCAACGGGGGTTGGCTCAAGTGGTAAGGTACTTGGGTTCGCTTAAGCAAGGACTCGAGTTCGAGACCTTGTGTATGCAGAAAATCCTCGCTGGGAGACTCACCTGCCAATGCTAGGTAACCTACCCGGGTCGGACTGGACATAGTTGGGGCGAAGCTCCAGAAACCAGTGGAGCAATCCAAAAAAAAAAGAACCCTGCCACACACGTATATATATATATATATATATATATATACACACACACACACTTATATATGGGGCATGATCTTTTGACACCGATGTCAAACTTTGAAATTTGACATCAAATCATAACCATTGATTTCCGCCAATCAACGGTTATCATTTATTGGGAATCAAACTTATTAATTAATATTAATTTTAAATAAATGATGACTGTTGATTGACAAAAATCAACGGATAGGATTTGAGGTCAAATTTTAAAATTTGACACCGATGTCAAAAGATCCTGACCCTATATATAGGGGTAGATCCTTTGACACCGGTGTCGAACTTTAAAATTTGACTCCAAATTCTAACAGTTGATTTCCGCTAATCAAATGTTGTAATTTATTGGTTGGCGAAAATTATAACTGTTGATTAGCGGTAATCAACGGTTCAATTATCCTTTATTACTATGTACTACCGGTAGTACATAGTTATAACATTAAAGTTACTTTTTTCTTTCTCTCCACCTCAGAAAACAGGTTCTGAAAAGTGATTGAGGAGGGGAAAAAAGTAACTTTAATGTTATAAATATGTACTACCAGTAGTACATAGTTATAAAGGGTAGCTGTAGATAACTTTATCTAAAGTGGCTGTAGAAATATTTACCCCAATATTTGTGCTATTCTCTTTTTATTTTTAATTTTTTTAACAAATGGTGGACCCCATCACTTGTTGTGTCTATGACATGAGAGATGTTATCTCATGTGAAATGAGAAAAAGAAGCTCATAAATATAGGGGAGGGTTCTTTTGACTCCAGAGAAAGTCTTAATCATCATCTTAGTCGTTGATGGACAGAAATCAACGGTTGTCATTTGTAATGTAATTAATAATTAATTAATTAATATGACTTCCTAAACTATAACCGTTAGATAGACGAAAATCAAAGGCTGAGATTGAGGAGTAAGAGTTATAAGTCTTACTATGGAGTCAAATGATCTATATATATTCAAAATCTTCTTCTTCTACTGATTATAACTACTATGTACTCCGATGAGTAGGGGTGTAAATAGGTTGGGCTATGTTAGACTTTGACTTAAACAGGCCAGACTTGTGTAAAATACTTTAGGCCTGACCTAACCTCTTAGCCTTATGTAGGCCTAAATTACAAGTCTGACCTGACCTATATTTAAAAAATAAAAGCCTTGGCCTAGACTTGTTAGCCTATTAAACATTCAATAATTAAAATAATATTACTTTAGTATTTAAAATTATTAAAATAATAATTTTATTTATTTTATTTAAAATAAATAATGTGATATAGGTCGGCCTGTAAGCTTAAAGACCCGACTTGTAAAAAAACTATAGCCTGCTTTCTAAATAAGTGTTTTTAAAAGCCTATGTCTGTTCTATTTAATTAAACACAATAGACCAAGTTTGGCCTGATATAGGCTAGGTCGTATGCCCCTATAAGCCAGCATAGTCCATTTACACCCCTACCGAGGAGTACATAGTTATGATATAAAAATTATTTTTTTTTCATTCCCCCTGTCAGCCAACAGCTTATGAAGAGAGAGAAAAAAAGTTTTAATATTATAATTATATACTTTTTTCGAAGTACATAATTATAATCGGTGGCAGCAAAAAAAAAAAAAAAATTGCAGCAACATAAGTAGATTTCCCATATATATTTATATATATATATATATATATATATATATATATATATATATATATATATATAGAGAGAGAGAGTTATATCAATATAATTTTTTCTGTTTTTCAATTTTCAAGATTTCAAACCTTAAATAAATAGTTTTTTTATAGTTTTAAATATTATTTGATTAAATAAATTTAAAATTATTTTTTAATTTAATATCAAAGTATTAATATCAATTTTTTCAATTCATCGAAATAAATATTTGCATGTTATCATTCTTTTTTTTTAAGTAAAAAAGAAAAGAAATTAATTATCAAATTACCATTATTAATAATAAATTAATTTTTTTAAATTTATAGAAATTCTGAAATATTATTATATGTATAAGAATTATTTATATTTTTAATTACTTAATTCAATGAATTTAATATTAATTTTAATTTAATATCAAAATAATAAGAATGGAGTAGGAGTGGAATTTAATATGGATTATCAGGATTTTGACATGTGGTAAAATGGATTGGTCCTGCTGTCACACCCAGTGGTATTAATCAGCTTCTATCACCTGGCAGCCTGGTCTCGCTGATTAGATCAACTAAATGTCTTGAGCCAATTTAGGCTTCTTTTTTTCTTTTCTTTTTTGAAAATAAAGGGAAAAAGCCAAATTACTGAAATTAGGCTTTGATATGAATATTTTGAGTCCGATTTGATCTATTAATATGATGTAAAGTAAATTATAGGCCTGAATATCAAGCTTAAATGCCTAATAATTTGAAAAAACATATAAAATAATATTTTTGTAGTAATTAAAATTTTTAAACAATTATTTTATTTTACCTTAAGTAAAATAAATAGAGAGAGGATCCACTTACCACCAAAAAAGTTTACAACTCTTACAACTAATTTAATCACCGTTAATTTCCGTCAATCTAACGGTTATAATTTATTGGGAATTAATAAATGTGACACAATAAATATTATTAATTTATAACCGTTAGATTGACGAAAATCAACGATGATTAAATTGGTTGTAAGAGTTGTAAACTTTTTTGGTGGTACGTGGATCTGTTCCCAAATAACTAATACGATATAAATCGATTTATAGACTTGTAGTGCAAACTGCAAACCATGTACAAATAGGTCTACAACCCATACTTAATATAAGTTGGACCGTAGGTTATACGTGATTGTGCATGTAGTCTTCAAGACCTTCTTTTCCCCTTTTTTTTTCCGTCCTTTTTTGGTGTTTAATGGTCATTACACATGTACACCTAAACAAATACTGATAGGAGTCAGTTTGGCTTCCTCAGAATTAGGAGTGAAAAAATAAGGGATGAATTTTGCACTTCTATTTTTAACGGTACAACAAGCTGACCCTATATGAGGAAATTAAACGTGCTTTCCTTCTGGCCAAATAAACAAATAAAAAATCTACTTTCCTTCTTCAGTTCTCCCTTCTTATTTAGCATTAGGGAAAACGTTTCTGGTCCTTTCCAGCTTACATTCAATTATGTGGTATCAACTCAAAAGTAGTAAAATACTTATGGTTATTTTGTTATAAGATATTAAGATGTGTGTGTGGGGCTTATATTTGCGAAAATTACAAATACTTAAGAGAGTGGGCTTTCTTAAAAGGTGCTATATTTGTTTTGCCTGTTCAAGTTACCCGAAAGTGAAATAGTTTCTTTCAATCTTATACAAAAGATTGTTGGTTCTTTGTCAAGCCTGCAACAAACATCAATGGTTTGTTATTGGAATCAATATACGCGAAATTGTGAGAGTCTGTTTCTTGGGACGGTGTCAAATATGCATTACCACTTGATGCCCGCTTATCCCCGCCAAAGTCAACTGAAGCATAACAAAGGAATTGTTGAATAAATAACTTGATTTAGTCCATTGTTAGTTATTATTTGGCTCAACTTCTAGAATAATCTTTAAGAGTAGTTTAGCCCAAATTCTAGAGTAATCCACTCTAGATTACTCCATGGAAATATCTAGAATAGTTCAACCTAGAAACTACCATGGAAATATCTAGGCTAGGAAAATTGTGGAGAATTCTAGAGAATGATTTGTAGCCATTAGATGAGAATTGTGTTGGCATAATCCTAGCCATTGGTTAAGGAGGTGCCACTAGTATAAATAGGTGTGTCCTCCCTCATTTTGTAACAAGCCAAAAAGCCAAAAACAAAAAAGAGTTGTGTAGTAATAAAAGTGTTCTCTTCCTCCAAATCTTTCTAAACCTTTCATTTTCTCAAATATCCTCCTCCCAATAAAGTGGTATCAAGAGCCTTAAGATCCTTTCTAGAGAAATGGCAAGTAGCAACATGGTTCCTTTCCAAGTCCCTATGCTCACCAAGAGCAACTATGATAATTGAAGCATCAAGATGAAAGCCCTCCTTGGATCACAAGATGTGTGGGAAGTGGTAGAGAAAGGCTACGATGAGCCAAAAGAAGGAGTCACTCTATCCCAAACTCAAAGGGATAGCTTGAATGATTCAAGAAAGAGAGACAAGAAAGCTCTCTATCTCATCTATCAAGGATTGGATAGAGATGCTTTTGAGAAGATTTCGGAGGCAGCCACCGCAAAGGAAGCATGGGAGAAGCTACAAACCTCTTACAAGGGTGCTGAGCCGGTCAAGAAGGTACGTCTTCAAACTCTAAGAAGTGAGTTTGAAACTTTACACATGAAAGATGCCGAAAGTATCTCCGATTATTTTTCTAGAGTCTTGACGGTGACTAATTAGTTAAAAAGAAATGGTAAAAAGATAGATGATGTAAAAATTATGGAGAAAATTTTGCGATCTTTAGACTCGAAATTCGATCATATTGTCACTGTCATAGAAGAAACAAAAGATTTGGAAGCTATGACAATAGAGCAACTCTTGGGCTCCTTACAAGCATATGAGGAGAAGCAAAAGAAAAAGCAAGGGGTTGAGGAAAAATTACTCAAGACACAACTCAACTTCAAAGGAAAGGAAGAAGACTTTGGCAACACAAGATGACGAGGAGGATATCGTGGTCAAGGAAGAGATCGTGGACGTGGAAGAATAGGCCTCAACAACAATTATGCCAATGAAGATCGAAGAGAGAGCTCAACAAGAGGTCGTGGAAGAGGTGTCTCGCAACCAAGACGTGACAAGTCTCAAATCAAGTGCTACAACTGTCAAAGGTTTGACCATTATGCTTATGAATGTAGAACTCCTACAAGAAAAATTGAGGAGAAGGAGAACTATGTGGAGGAAAGAAGTCAAGAAGATGGCACTCTGTTGATGGTACACAATGACAATGTAGGAGAACAAGAGAATACATGGTATCTAGACATAGAATCAAGCAATCCAGAATCAGAATTCGATATCCAAAATGAATTGGAGTCAGAGAAATCAGAGACTATGGAAGAAGAAGAAGAACACCAAGAAGAAACTGAAGCTGAAACTGAAGCTGATAATATTGATGATATGGAAGAAGATACAAAAGCTGCTGAGTGGATAAATAAATCCGATTTGATGAAAGAACATGAAGAAAAAAGAGGAGGAGAAGGTGATAGCGAGCGTAGTGGTGATCCTGACGACGTCGATGATGATGATGAGGAACGTGAGGAAGAAGAGGAGAATGAAGCAGTACTAACACTACCAGAATCAAAGATAGAACCCCAAAGAAATTTCATATTGGATGAAACAATGACAACCAAGAAAAAACATATAGCAACTGAAGAAATGAAAGTTGAAGGCGTATTCTTTAGAAATGTTGATGACTCAGAAGGGCAGACAGTTCAAGATGAAAATGATCAAACTCCGCCACCAAGTCCTACTCCAACAACTCTTGCATCTACACCATCAACAGGAAGAAGCAACAACAACAAAGAAGTTAAACTAAAAGTGAAGCCAAGGAGCAGTAGCAACAAGTCAGGAGGAGTACCAACAAAGAAGACAAACAAATGAGAAATAATTCCAATAAAAGAAAAACAAACTCTCATTGATGTGCCAGAAAAGCAAAGAAAGAAGATATTTTGGAGAATGAGCAAAGGGAAAAACCAAGGATTACTTGGTCAAATCTAGCAGAGATCGTGTATGTACCGGAGACGCCACAAACACCGACAAAGATTGTTTATCTTCCACCAATCCCAAAGCCACCGGACAAATGTGTTCCACATAATATGATTGGTTTACAAAATCAAGTTTAAGGGGGTGTTGAATAAATAAACTTGATTTAGTCCATTGGGCTTAGTTATTATTTGGCCCAACTTCTAGAATAATCTTTAAGAGTAGTTTAGCCTAAATTCTAGAGTAATCCACTCTAGATTATTCTATGGAAATATCTAGAATAGTTCAACCTAGAAACTACCATGGAAATATCTAGGCTAGGAAAATTGTGGAGAATTCTAGAGAATGATTTGTAGCCATTAGATGAGAATTGTGTTGGCATATTGGTTAAGAAGGTGCCACTAGTATAAATAGGTGTGTCCTCCATCATTTTGTAACAAGCCAAAAACAAAAAACAGTTGTGTAGTAATAAAAGTGTTCTCTTCCTCCAAATCTTTCTAAACCTTTCATTTTCTCAAATATACTCCTCCCAACAGGAATTACATTGGGGTGAAATTCAAACTTCAATGCTCCATGAAATGTGAAACTGTAACTTAAGAAGTTATCATATGTTTGAAATCTGTTCTTGACATACTTAATGCTAACCTGAGTGAAAGTATTCAATGCAGGATTGTGGAAGCTTTTTTTTTCTATATACTTGATCGTGATAGGTCACCTGTTCGAGATCAAGAAACAGACTCTTTGTAATTATATAAGGATAAGGTACTATAAAGATTATCCTCTCCACCATCGCTAGCCGGGATTTAACACGGAGCAATTTTTTTTTAAATACTGCATAGTGACATGGTAATTGTCTTATTGAGACAATGAAATAGCTAGAATTTCATTTTATTTAGGTCGTGCAGATCTACATACTGAGAGGAGAGAAGATGACTTTGACGAGGAGGCTATCAAAGTCACTGGAAATGGAGTCAAGGTGTATGGGGATATTACAACCATGCTATAAAGAAAGGTAAGAAAGACATCAGTTGTTTCAAACAATCATGGGCTTGAGCTTGGAGAAGAACCAGATGTAAGACAGGAGGGAGTATTGATCCCTGCTTCTCAATTCTGTTTCAAGCCCTCTGGTTATATCAAATCTCATAAGTTTCAACTATATTCTTTGTTGTTCACTGTGTTTAAAATGAGACGATTTACAATACTAATTGTTATAAAATGTAGGGAGATAAATAAGAAAACAGAAATGAAAAGAGAAAGAGAAAATATGAGAATATCAAAACATGAATTCTTGGAAAGTACATAGATATCAACAATTTTTATTCCACTAATTATTTTACTTTTGTTATAAGCCATGTTCTTTTTATATATATAGGGAAAAATTATTCTTATGTTATATAAGATACATTTTCTCTCTTACACACCCTTCGATAACTGTGCCACATTTTTCTTTTCTTTTCTTTTTTCAGGTGGTGGAGCCCACAAATTTATCTCTATGACATGAGATAACTATCTCCTTTAACATGAGATTAATAAAACCCACATATATATATATATGGGTAAACAACTTCTCCTTTTATAGAAGTTTTTTTGGTGCAGCACTCACATCCCACAAATATCGAAATGTGTGATTTGCTTTTTGTTTTATTTTTTTCAAAACAACCACGGATCCCATAAAAAAATTCTCACTGTGGGAAAAATAACTTCTCTTATGAAAGGAGAAGTTGTTTACCCTATATATATATATATATATATATATATATATATATATATAAAAGAGTGTTATTTTTACAACTTTTTTCGCTTATAACCTAATTTTTTACCATTGATTTTCATCAATCTAACAATTATATTTTATTGAAAATTAATAATTAATTAATAAATTTGACACAATAAATCATAATCGCTGGATTGACGAAAATCAACGGCAAAAAAATAGGTTGTAAGAGATTGTAAGCGAAAAGAGTTGCAAGAACAACGCTCCTCTATAGGGTCAGGCCTAGGGGTGTTAGCGGGCCGAGTCAGGCCAAATTTTGGTCTTTAAAGACTAAGTTTGTGTTTAAATATGTCAGTCTGACCTAACCTGTTACCTATTATTAATTTAATTATCGACTTGTGCCCTCACTTATTTACAAAAAATAAATGTTTGATTTAGCCTGTAAACAAAAATAAGACAATAAAAATTTATCCAAACAAAATATACGATCAATAGCACTAATAATTCCACAAAGATTGATAAATTTAATATATATCCAACAACATAATATAGAACAAAGTCATTAAAAAAAGTCTGTTTAACCAATAAAATAAGGTGAAATAGGTTAAGGAAAGAGGGAAGACTATTATAAGTAGTATAAAAAATATAAAATAAAAATAAAAGTTAGTATTAGGCCAAGGCTCAAAGGCCGGACTTTTGAATTAGAGTATGAGACCTTTTTATGAAACAGGCTTTTATACAAATTCAAGTCTGGTTCTAACAATCAATTTTAGACATGTAAGATCAAGCCTTCACGAGACGAGCCAAAGGCCCCTGGTTCATTTACCACCCTTAGGGTCAGCAACATGAGATAAGCTTATCTTATGTTACCCCTTTTAACTAAGTACTACGAGTAGTACATAGTTTTTATGTTAAAGTTATTTTTTATCTCTATCTTGTTAGTCACTTTTAAGGACTTGTCTGCTGATGTTGAGAGAGAGAAAAAAGTAACTTTAATATTATAACTATGTACTGTTGGGCAAGTGGCTTCTTTACCTAGGATGCGGAAGAACACCTAGAGGGGGGTGAATAGGTGTTTCCAAATTTTTCAAAATCTTTTTCTTAGTAGAACCTTAAATCTGTTAAGTCTAGACAAAGTTGAACTAACAAGTTCAATCACCACACTAACACAACAAGATTGATAGTTATCAATTTATTTTGCAAGTTCAATTCTGATAACAGTCACACAACTATAACAATTTTACTAATTTTACCGTAGGTCCCTATATGCCCAAAATGATTTTTATATGATGTATATCAATAGAAAACGTACTTGACTTTTTATTTTACAGAGCAAACACAGAAACAAGCTTTCTTACTCAAAATAGAAAATGATTAATTTCCAAATACCAGAAAACAGTTTAAGTGCGACAGCAATTACATCAGGACTAGTAAGGTGCTACAACACTTTCAAACCGGAATCAGTGTAACTGTCAGTCTCTAAATAGAATTTCAGAAATTAAATCAGAGAGACAAGAGACACACGATATATCCTGATTCACACCCACTAAGCCTAAATAGGGTGCTATGTCCAAACTGAAGTCGCTGCAGATATTTAATTTATCACAAGTGTACCTGTTTTACAAATACGCGTTACACAAGCAATCAAACAAAATAGCAAAAATCTTCCTAATGCCTACATTGCTCCAAGCTCTGAGAATACTCTCAAGCCGAACCTACAGAGTTCACAAATTCCCCTTACACAAGACCTCCACACTCTCTCATGGATTCTTGAGACTTCAGGCCTTGAGACACACTCTCAAGCCAAGCACAAGGTCGCCCACCTACACGGTTGCACCCATACACCTAGGACAAATTTTTCACACACGCACACTTCACTTTAAACAACCGATACATAATTTTTCAAAACTGTAACAAGTGAAATTAACAAAAAATACAGTGTCCTATCGCACCAAATATATCATAGTAATATCAAACTAAGCTCCACAATTTTATGCCATATACAGAAAATTAAACCAATGACATGTATCAAAATCTTTAAATTTAATGCACCAAGGAGCTTGGATATTACAAAATTAATTCTCTAATCAAAGGCAATCAACAAATCTGATCTAAACAGAAAATATCACAATGTAAATGAAAAAGTCAGATTCAGAATTTTAATAGTAAATCTCTAAATCAATGAACAACTCAAGAGATTTAATATTCAGATTATACCACTCAAAATTCCTAAAGCATCTGAGCTAATAGATCTGGAAATTTCAGATTAAATGCTTTAAATCAAAGATTCATAAAAGATTTGAGTTGGTCAGAAAATACCACAATGAAGTTCTAAAAATTTGTTTAATCTGCTCCCTTAAGAAACCTCAAATCAGCCACAAGATTGCAGGCCTTGTTCTTCAACTAATGTTAACGATCCAACATTAGGGTTGCAAGATTTCTTTTTGCTTCACAAACTCTCGGTAAATGAACAAGAAGCATCAATAGGAATGAATCACTCGAAGATGTAAAAATGGGAATTAGCGTTCTTGAAGATGAAAACAGAAATAAATCTTAACAGTTGATTGACGAAAATCAACGGTTAAGATCTAAAATGATACAAAGTTATATCCTTTAAAAGGACAAATTTTTTTCCCATTATTCTATATTGTTTGCTTTCAAATAGTTGTGAAAAAGAAAATGGGCACATCGTATAACTGACCTAAAAAAAATGAACTGAAAAAGTTAAGCCAAAAAAAAAAAAAACTACCCACGTGACAAGTAGATTTCAAATGCTGATTATTATTATTTTTATTGTATTTTATATATTTTATTATTAAAGAAAAATAAAGCCTTTCAATTATATTGTATTGAAAACGCTAACATGATCATATTGTTTTCTTTAATCTTAGTAAAGCTATTTTTTTTAAAACATATTTTTATCAAAATATTAATCATTATTATTTATTATGAAATTAGTATGATATGCAATGATATGCATTGGAGCGTAGGGAGATACTATATGATATAATAGAGTGTGTAACAAAATTCTAAAAATCTAACCACTTGTGTTTTCAAGCTCCATTTTTAATTTGAGACTTCTTGCAAATCATTTGCCATCATCAAAATATGTATTCCAAAAATCTAACCATTTGTGTCTTCAAGCTCCATTTTCAATTTGAGACTTCTTGTAAACCATTTGTCA